ACTACTTTCTTCTGAACTGAAGCAGTGTTCATCCGAACTAAAATTTTGAACCTTTTGTTCTGAAGGCAACACTAAATTAATGCCTTAACGTATTTGCTCTGCCTGTGATAAATCCAACAGTATGAACATTTTAATCGATTGGCACTACAGAAGTTCTCCCATGAATTTGACTGTAATTACATACTTGCTTGAAAGTGCTGTATTGAGCACTTTTCAAATTGATTTTCTCATCTTAATTTTAAAAAATTCACAGAACTGACACATTTCCATCTGCCTTCTGAATCCAAAAACAATACATTACACTTTCATCACACTATTCTTACCTTGGTGAGATTACTACTTAGAAAACAGCCTGATAGATTGACTTTCAAAAGCAAACCTGGCTGAACCACTTTACTCACATTAGGTCTTGCTTCGCTTGGCCAAAATTGCACACAATTTCAGAAGGCAACCATCCTCCCCACCTCTTCTACTTATAGCTCCAAGAAGTGACAGGAGCTCATAGAGTGCTTTATCACTCAGGTAGAGTCCATCCATTCAGTTGCATGTGGTATTTTCCTCCCTTCACCCAGTCCACTAAGCTAAACTTTTAGAAGACAAGTTCATTAGAAATGGTACCAAGGGTAGGCCATTTGGCTCCTTGACCATGCTCTGCCATTTGATAAGTTCATGGCTGGTTCGATTGTGATCATGATTCCACTCTCCTATCTGCCACCCACCCTCTCCTCTGCCTGTAACTTTTGACTCCCTTATCATTCACAAATCTGTCTCTCTCAGCCTTTAATAAATCCAGTTACCAAGCCTTGACTGCTCTCTAGGGAGGAGAATTCCTAACATTGACAATCTTTTGAGAGAACTGTGTTAAATGGGATACTCATTATTTAATTCTTGAGGAGGTAATTGTCCTTCACTGCTAGAGAGATGGAGTTTAAAAATAGGGAGGTTATGCTGCAACTGTCTAGGGGGCTGGTGAGGTCACACCTGGAGTATTGTGTATAGTTTTGGTTTCCTTCCTTGAAAAAAGATGGACTGACACTGCAGGGAGTGCAGAGGGCATTCACTAGGTTGATTCCAGAAGAGGGGGTTGGCTTATGAGGAGAGATTGAGTAGACTGGGACTATACTCAATAGAATTTAGAAGAGCAAGGGAGGGATCTTATAGAAACACATAAAATAATGAAGGGAAGAGATAAGATAGAAGCAGGGAGGTTGTTTCCACTGGTGGGTGAAACTAGAACAAGGGGGTATAGCCTCAAAATAAGGACGACAGATTTAGGACTGCATTGAGGAGGAACTTCTTTAGCCAAAGGGTTGTGAATCTGTGGAATTCCCTGCCCAGTGAAGTAATTGAGGCTACCTTGTTAAATGTTTTTTAAGGTAAAGGTACATAATTTTGAACAGTAAAGGAATTAAGGGTTATAGTGAGAGGGTAAGTAAGTGGAGCTGAGTCACAAAAGATCAGCCATGATCTCATTGAATGGCGGATCAGGCTCGATAGGCCAGATGGCCTATTCCTGGTCCAATTTCTTTGGAATTCCAAAGACTTTCAACCCTTAAAGAAAAACACATATCATCTGTTTTAAATGGGCAACCACTTATTTTTAAACTATGACCCTCAGTTCTAGATTTTCCCACAAGAGAAAGCATCCTTTTCGTATCCATCAGGTCAAGTCTTCTCAGGACCTTAAATATTACGATCAAGTCACCTCTGGCTCTTCTAAACTAACCTTGAAAGAGAATGTAGGCCCAGCCTTTCCTCAGAAGGCAATCCATTCATTCCTGCATTCATTGTAGATGAACTTACCACTTATTCTAACTGAAGCACAACGTTCCTACTCTTGCATTCAATTCCCCTTGCAATAAAATATAACATTCTATTAGCTTTTCTGATTACTTGCTGTACCTACATACTAACCTTCTGTACTAGGATATCCAGATCGTTATGCATCTGTGTTATGCAACCTCTCACCATTTAGGATTTTTTATTCTTTCTGCCAAAATGGACAGTCACACTTTCCCATATTATACTCCATATGCCAGATCTTAGCCCACTCACTTACCTATGAGATCCCTTTGTACGCTCTCTACATCCTCTTCACGTAACTGAAGTTTCTCATCCCTAGAACCATCCTCATAAAGCTTCTAATATTTATACACTCTTTGCAAAATGTGGAGCTCAGAACAGGATTCAATACTCCCATTAAGAGCAGGGTTTTATACACGAACACTTCATATCCCTTGACATTCAATTTTCTCGATTTTGATCACTGTTTCATGTATCAATGTTCTAAAATTGAATCAGCCACTTATCTACCCATTCCACCAATTTGTCTACATCCTTCTAAAGTTCTATACCATTCCCCTCTCAGTTCACAATACTTCTAAGTTTGTATTATCTACAAATTTGGAAGATGTCCTTGTACACCAAGGGCTAGTATTAGACAAACTAATAGGGCTCAAGGCAAATAAGTCCCTAACCCTGATGGCCTGCACCCTAAAAGAAGCAGCTACAGAGATAGTGGATGCATTCGTTACTATTTTCTATTTTTGGATTCTGGAGAAGTAATGGTGGATTGGAAAATTGCCAATTTTGCACCCCTATTAAAAAGGGAAGGGAGGCCAAAAGCAGACCACTTACCCTGACATCTATTGTTGGAAAAAATGTTGGAGTTGATTATTAAGGAAGTAACAGCAGCACATTTGGAAAATCGTAATTTAATCAAAGGGAGTTCTAGCTTTCATGGCTTAATGAAAGGGAAATCATGTTTGACAAATTTGATTGGAGTTGTTCAACAAAGTCTCAACCTGAATAGGAAGATGTATTGCACCGGGACTTCTAGAATGCGTTCGACAAGGTACCTCACAAAATGTTGTCATAACAGCCCATGGTGTTGGAGGTAATATTTTGATGTGGATACAGAATTGACTAATGGGCAGGAAAAATCAAGTGGGGATAAGGGATTCTTTTTCAGATCAGCAACATAATAACCAGTTTGGTTTCACAGGGATTAGTGCTGGGACTGCAACTATTTACAATATATATGAATAACTTCAAGAAAGGAAACAAATGTATTGTGCCTAAATTTGCAGATTACAAAAATAGGTGGAAAGGCAAGTTGAGAACAGGATACAAACAGTTTACAGGGACATATTAATAGAATAAGTAAGTGGGTAAAATGGTGAAAAATGGAATATAATGAGAATAATGTGAAGTTGTTCATTTTACAAGGGAGAACAAAAGAAGAGTATTATTTAAATGGACTAAAGTTGAAACACAAAGGGACTAGGAGGTACCTGAAAACTAAATACAGAAAGCTAGCGCATAGATGCAGCAGGTAATCAGGAAAGCTAATGGAACGTTGGCCCTTATTTCAAGGGGGTTGGAGGATAGGAAAGGAAGTCGTACTGCAACTGTTCAAGGTGCAGGTGACATCATATCTGGGGTACTATAAGCAGTTTTGTCCCCTTAATTAAGGAAAGATATAATTTCATTGGAGACAGTTCTGAGAAGGTTCACTCAGATGATCCCTAATATGGAGAGATTGTCTTATCAGCAAAGGCTAAACAGGTTGGGACTCTACTCACTTAAGTTCAGAAGAATGAAAGGTGATCTCACTGAAACATAAATTCTTAAGAGGCTTGACAGGTAAATGCTCAGAGGATGTTTCCCCTCATGGGACAGTCTAGGACCAGATGGCATAGTCTCAGAATTAAGGGGCACCAAATTTAAAACTGAGATGAGGACGAATTTCTTTTCTCAGAGGGTTCTGGATCTTTGAACTCCTTGTCATACAGAGCTGTGAGGACAGAGTTCTTGTGTGTATATACGAGGGTGAGATAGATAGATTCTTGATCAATAGGGGAATCAAAGGTTACAGAGAGAAGGCGTGAAAGTAGAAATGTTGGATAAACCACGATTCTAGTGAATGGTGGAACAGGCCCAAGGGGCAAACCAGCCTACTGTTCTTAAATTTTAATGATCTATGTCATTAATATATTTCACAAAGAAAAAGGGGTCCAACTACTTCCAGGGAAATTCTACCATGAACCTTCAACTGTTTCAAAAAAAAACAACTATCCTCTCTTTCATTTCACGCAATTTTATATCCACGTTGCACTTTTCCCTTTTATTCCATAAGTTCTACCTTCGCTTGCAAGTCTGTGGTGCAGCACCTCAATTAAATATTTTTTAGAACGCCATGTTACATCAACAGCATTACCCTCATCAATTACCTTATTCAAAATTTCCAACTTAGTCAAACACAATTCTTCCTTAATTAATCCATGCTCACTTTTCCTAAATTAACCTACACTTGTTCTGGCATTTTCTATTTTTGTCTAAAATTATTGTTTTTGGAAGTTTTCCCAGCACTGAGGTTAAATTGATCAGCTTCTAATTGCTGGACTTCCTGTCACAGCCTTTTCACATATCCATTAATCATCAATAAGCCAAGTTCTACAACCATTCTATAGGCTCTTGTTAGTGTTTCCAGTCTCGATAGGACATATCACTGCATACCAGAAATTATTGCAGACTGATCTTATGTAAAGCACTATGCCAACAAAGATCACACACAATAAGACGTGAATGAAACAAGGCAAACAAAAATACATATATTGTACTTTCATTATAAATCTTGATCCAATTTCGAATCTAAAACAACGTGATAATGCCACAAGGCATTTGGCAGGAGCTCCAATTCCACATGAAAAACACTTTCTTACTTCTCCCACTTTTGCAAACTTCACAACACCACTAATCTGTAAGCCAAATAAACAATAAACTCTGTTGACCTGTCCAGATCAGGACAGCCGAGAACATCATAAATCTTAACAGCAGTTACAACGACACTTGTCCAAACAGCTGTTGTGGAGCATAGGGGGGAACGTAGCTCACGCAAAGCAAATAAACTCTCGGTTTACTAATGTCACTACCACCTCAAATTAGACACGTCTCATTTTTTAGATTTCAAAACCTTATAATTCTGAGCGGGTTCTCACCTTGCACCTCCTCGGCGCCTTCTGCCAACATGTCTTTGGTGAAGCTAGAGAGCTGGCCAGTCAGGGAAGTCAGACTGCCCCCGACCTGACCCAGAGATTGCCCCAGGCCCGAGCCGATCCCACCAAACCAGGAGGACATGGTGCCGGCGGGGAGTTGGGGGTGACGAAGAGGAATGGAGAAATGGCTAAACAGCGGCGGGTGTGAGCAGACGGCCAGCGGGTTACCCGAGTCCCTGGCTTCCTACCCCCTCACCGGGCCGTAGGCCCCGAGCCTCTCGGACAGGTGTCAGTAACCCAATGAGGAAGGAAGGAGGTCGAAACACAGCGGAGACAACCAAATACTCGGCCGACTCTTGTCGTCGTCGGCGGCGCTACTACTTGTTGTTGTTACTCTTCCGCCGTCCCTCACTTACTATCCCAATCCCGGTTCTGCCAACTCAACGGCAGCCATATTGTCAGCGTCAGCAACTGCGCGCCGCCCGGCACCCTGGGTACAAAGCGGCGAGATAGACCACTTTCACAACCGCCATCTTGGACAGTCTGGCCGCATAGGATTGTGGTATAACAACAATAAAATACAGAAAATATTAAAGAAACTCACTTTCCGAGGAGAGACAAACAACAGTTAACGTCTCGGCTCCGAGACGACGCCTCTTCAGAATTCGGAAGAAATATAAGAGTCATAAAGGTCTTCAGCACAGAAAAAAGGCCCATCGGCCGACCCAGTCAGTAACAATTACCTAACTATGTTTCAGAGATAGTAGGAACTGCAGACGCTCGAGAATTTGAGATAACGAGGTGTCGAGCTGGATGAACACAGCAGGCCCTGAAGAAGGGTCTAGGCCCGAAACGTCAGCCTTCCTGCTCCTCTGATGCTGCTTGGCCTGCTGTGTTCATCCAGCTCTACACCTTGTTATCTCAATTACCTAACTATTCTATGAGGAGAAAGTAGAGTTAATGTCTCGGGGCCAGTGACCCTTCTTCAGAACCGGACCAAAAATGTTAACTCTGCTTTCTCTCCACAGATGCTGCCAGACCTACTGAGTTTGTCCAGTAATTTTTGTTTTTGTTTCTGACTTCCAGCATCCGCAGTTCTTTTTTATTTTTTGTTTGTTTACCTAATCATTCTAATCCTATTTTCCACTACTTGTCCCAAATACTTATATGCCTTGGCATCACTAATTCACTTTCTGCACGGATGCTGCCAGATTCTTCAGCATATTTCAGAATCCCAGCATCCACAGCATTTTATTTAAAAAAAATTGTTTTAACAGAAACTGAGTGAACCACCACTGAGGATTGATTAATAGCATATTAAAACTCCTGTGTACAGTGTGCATTTCTACTTTGTCAGATTTTCTTTCATGCTGTTTCAAAGCAAAATAAAAACTAAACCACATAACTTAAACACAGAGTGATAAGATATTAAAAACACATTTTATGTTAACAATTTCACCACAGTGTTTTACTTGAAGATCTCTTGCATGCAGGAATATGAGCTTGGATATGATGGCCCAGATCTTGCCATCCCAATAGTGGTGAACACGAACAGGTTCAATACTTCTTGTGAGCTGCAATGGCCCTCCAATTATCAAGAAGCTCCCACTTACATATGAATCCGGAAGCTGAGCAAATGGCTCCAGGGATGCCCATGCTGATGGTCCAGCTGGCATCTCTCACAATTAAAACTTGGACTAATTACTTTGTATTTATACCTGTGTTTATAACTGTTTTATTTAGGGCTGCTTATAGCAAGTGTACAAACTACTCTGAAGCTTGGCCCTTTAAATCATCTGTACAATATTGTCAAAAAAGGACTGCCCCATCCCACCTCATGTTGAGCTTAATTCTTGGAGGCTTCAAGTTGATTTAGACAAGTGATTGAGCAAACACATGGCAGATGCATTACAATATGGCTCAATGTGAAGTTATATGCTTTGGTGGGAATAACAGAAAGGAAGAGTATTATTTCAATAGTGATATATTGGGAAATGTGGATGTAGAAAGGGATCACTGCTTCTTTGTGCATCACTTAATGAAAGTAGATTTGCAGGTGCAGCAAGCAATTTGGAAGGCAAATAGTATATTGATCTTCATTGTATTTGAGATCAGCAGTGGGGGTGGCATGGTGGCTCAGTGGTTAGCACTGCTGCCTCACAGTGCCAGGAACCTGAATTCAATTCTACCCCCAGGTGACTGTGTGGAGTTTGCATATCCTCCCCATGTGTGCATGGGTTTCCTCCAGTTTCCTCTCACAGTTCAAAGAATTGAAGGCTTGGTGGATTAACCATGGAAAATCCAGGGTGAAAGGGCAGGGTGTTGGGTCTGGGTGGGGTGCTGTATGGAGGGTTGATGTGGACTTGATGGACCAAGTGGCCTGCTTCCACACTGTAGGGATTCTATGATTCTAAGTAGAGATGTCTTACTGCAGTTATACAGGGCCCAGCAGAGGTGGTAGAATTGTCATATGAGGAGCAACTCAACTTCACCCGTATTGACTAGAGTTCAGAAGGATGAGATCTGATTGAACCATACAACATCTTAACAGGGCTGGGCAGATGATGCAGGGAGATGGTTTTCCTGGTTGGGGACTCTAGAGCCAGGAATCACAGTCTCAACTTATACGATAGGCCATTTAGGATTGAGATGCGGAAATAACTTCTTCACTCAAAGTGTAGTGAATCTTTGGAATTCTCTACCACAGTAGGTTGTGGGGTCCAAAGCACCATATATAGTCAAGAAAGAATATTTTTTGAATATTAAAACTATCAAGGAGTATGGGGAGAACATGGGAATAAGGCATTGACAAATTAAATCAGCCATGATTATATTGAATGGTGGAGCAGGCTCGAAGTGCCAAATGGCCTATTCCTGTACTTTGTTTCTGTGTTTCTATACCAGAAACCAGAAAAAATGGGTTACTGTCAGGGTCTGTGTTCTCGGCATTTAATTGAAACAATTCATGTCATCAGCTCAAGCAAAAAAAACGTAATCACAAAATTCTTGCCTTGTCTAAAGAGGTGCAAACAATAAGCATTTGATTCACACAAAGAGAGAGAAGGAAACTTAGAATTGTAAATCACAACATATTTATATGTACTATAGTATGATTTATAGTGCACGCAACACACATCAAACCTCAATGCAACCATCCCTTTGAAGGCATTAGCCTAGTGGTATTATCATTAGACTAATAATCCAGAAATTAAGCTAATGTTCTGAGGAGCTGTGTTCAAATCCCGTTTGACTAATGGTGGGATTTGAATTCAATAAAGAACCTGGAATTAACAGACTAACAATGAGCATGAAGCCATTGTCAATTATAGAGTCATAGAATAATGGAGACGTACAGCACAGAAACAGACCCTTAAGTTCAACTCATCCATGTCAACCAGATATCCTAAATTAATCTCGACCCATTTCACCGCATTTGGTACATATCCCTTTAAACCCTTCCTATTGTAATACCTATCCATATGCCTTTTAAATGTTGTAATTGTATCAGCCTCCACTACTTCCTCTGGCAGCTCATTCCATACATGCAACACCTTCTGTGTGAAAATGTTGCCCTTTAGATTCATTTCATATCTTTCCCCTCTCACCTTAAACCTATACCCTCTAGTTTTGGACACCCCCACCCTGGGCAAAAAATCTTGTCTATTTCCCCTATCCATACTTGTCATGATTTTATAAAGGGCTGTAAGGTCACCCCTCAGCCTCCGATTTCTAGGGAAAATAGCCATAGCCTGTTCAGCTTTCTCCCTTTGGCTCAAATCCTCCAACCCTGGCAACTTCCTTGTAAATCTTTTATGAACTCTTTCAAATTTCACAACATCATTTCTCTAGCAGGGAGACCAGATTACTTGCTGTATTCCAAAAGTGGCCAATGAACTGTACAGCCGCAACACAACCTCCCAACTCCTATACTCAATGCACTGACCAATAAAGGGAAGCATACCAAACACCTTCTTCACTATCCTATCTACCTGCAACTTCATTTTCAAGGAACTATGAACCTTGTTGGAAAAAATACATTTGGATCATTAATACCCTTTAGGGAAGAAAATATGCCATTCTTACCTGGTTTAGTCTACATTTGAGTCCAGACCCAAAACAGTATGGTTCATTCTTAACTGTCCTCTGGACAATTAGGGATGAACAATAAATGCTGGTCCAACTAGAGATGCCCATATCCCATGAGTAAATTAAAAATATCGATTGTAATTAACTTTCAAAATACAGAATGTTTTCACAGGAATAACAATTTTAATTACGCCATTTCTTAGCAAAGTTTGTTGGCAGTTGTGCACCAGAAAGTGTATATTAGTAAGAATTGTGGATAATAAAGTCAACAACTAGTGATCTCTTCTGTAAGTTGCTGATGTTTATTTTATTATACATAATTCTCCTGCCATTTGCATTGTGAAATTTAAAATAAATTAAATACAAATCCCATGTTTTCTCTAATAAACAGTGAATTTATTGACAATGTGATATCTGATCTTTACTTCAATTAAATATTTAGGCATTGATCTTTTCATTTGCTTAAATTTAATGCCTTTGTTATTTTGTTGAAGAAAGTAATGATTGCAACTAAAGCAACAGTGATTGTCTCTTATTTTAGGGGTCAGCAGCATAAATATAAATTGCAGCTTTATCCATTGTGATATATATAAGTTCATTACTTTCATAAACTAGTTTTCACAAGTCTGAACTCAAATCCATGATGAGGTTTAATGAGAACATGTTAACCAGTTCAGCAACCAAAATTATTATGAATATGCATCTGAATTGTCAATGTTGAAAAATTACATTAAATATGATCAAATTTAATCTTGGACATACTTAACATATGTAAATTAACAAGACAGGTATGATTTTATACTCTGATTTAGTTCAGATGTATGTTCAACAACATGAAATGTTTTAAATTGGAAATATCAAATGTTATCTTGTATTTTCAGTTTTTAATTCAACTGAATTGTGTGACCAGATTCTAGAAGATAGATTTCAAAAACTTCACCGCCCATTACAGAATAAGGGAGAAATGCAAGTGGTGTATGAATAAGGGTGGAAGTTGTACAGCCCTTTTGTTGGTGACCAGTCAAATGTACCAATTTTCTTTAAATCCTAAAACATCAAAACCAGTTTGCTCTTAGCCAGTTCAATTACATTCTACTGATTGTTCAATAGTACTACAGCTATTCAATTGTTATTCCTGTGAAAACATTCTGTACTAATTCTATTGGATTGACTTGCAAACATAAAATTAAGTGACATATTGAAAACATAGATGGAACCTCATGTGATGTCATAGCTTCCTACATAATCATGAACAGTCAACTGGTTCTTCAGTTGTTTAAACTCATTTTTTAAAAAGTTGACCATCTCTCAAAGTTGAAAATTCAGAGAAACCTTTAGAAACAATTGAAAAGGCAGTGGAACACTAAAAATGGTGAGTGAGAAGTATAGAATA